ATTGTAACAGTTTAAAATGCCTCGACGGAAATATAAAAGATATTTAGAACCTGATTCAACAGAGGATATCCCTCGTCAAACCCTTCATAGCAGAAGAAAGCGAGAAAATAAATCATCTAACAGAGAGGTAAGTGGTTTTTATATCTATCTTAACCCTTTATTTGGCAGTGTTGCTCTGAAGCAACAACTATTTCCATGTTTTTAATATTGACATATTATAGACTAATCAGAAACTCTTCAGGATCGCCAGCAAAAATTAAAAACAAATAATTTGGTTGACCATATCTGGCAATTTTTAATACTTTCGTATCGCTACGTTTCGACCATGGGTTTTGGTCCTTTTCAAGCAAGTGTAACTGTATTAATCGTGCATAGGATCACGTGTATTTAGTGGTGTTGTGAGGATGACTCAGTCATGTTTTGTCACTGCTCAAGATAAGTTCACGTAATATTTTAGGATTATAATGACCATCCTCACAACACCACTAAATACACGTGATCCTATGCACGATTAATACAGTTACACTTGCTTGAAAAGGACCAAAACCCATGGTCGAAACGTATAGCGATACGAAAGTATTAAAAATTGCCAGATATGGTCAACCAAATTATTTGTATTTGACATATTATATTCTACTTCTTACATATAGATTATGTTCTACTTCTTACATATAGATGTTTTGTTTCAGGAGCAATATCATAATAATGAACCATTTAATGATGCAGATTTATTTAACCAAGATGCGTTATTTCAAGAAAATCCCATTTCTGAAGAAGACGGAAACAGCGAGGAAGTATGTTATAACATTTACATATAAAATAAAAAAAACTCAAATATTTGAAATCTACTTCTAATTATATGTAATAGATTTTTATGTTTCAGGGGCATCATAATAATGAACTATTTGATGATGATGCGAATTTGTTCTACCAAGATGCGTTATTTGAAGAAAATCATACTTCTGAAGGAAACGGAAACAACGAGGAAGTATGTTATAACATTTATAAAATTGAAACTCAGCATACACAAAGTAACAGTTATATGCATAATGCACGCGTTGTGATATCTATATATATTGACTATGTTTACACGGCACTCTAATCGAATTTAATAACAACCGTAGTTAAGGGGCTGACCAACCACAGTCATTCCATTCGTCTGAGGAATAGTTTTGTGATTGGTCAATTTTATAACTACAGATGTTATTAAACACGATTAAGGGTCACGTGTAAACGTAGTCATTGTTGAGTAGGACATTATAACTAACAGTTACAACTTTTTTTAAATGGAGAAACCATCATGGCATACCTGACCCTGTGGGGGGTCAGGAATTTGTGCGGGACTCTAACCACGCTAAAATTCTACTATGGCCACCCTGCGCTTATAGCGTTTCCCCGGGAACTACCTTGAGGCATTAACAGTTTACAACTAACAACTTTATGTTTGCTGGGAATAAATTGAAATATTTGAGATATACATAAGTATTCGTATTTTCTATTATTTTAACTCAACTGTCTTATTATGTGACTGCAGATTTTGGACAATCAATACGATCGATTTCTGAGTGAAGCATTATGCCCATGTTCAGCAACAACAAAAGGAGAAGCGCTAATGATGGCCATACTTTTAGGAAAAAAACACTATATGACTTGGGTTGCGATCCTTGACATCATAAATATGATAAACAAATTGTACAACACTGATGTCTTACCAAATTCTAAGTATAGTTTATTCAAACATTTTCCATTAGCTGAAGACACTATTAAAGTCCACTTATTTTGTCCAAGTTGTCAAAGATACCTGGGTGAACGACCAAAATTACGTTCAAGTAACATAGTATGTCATACCTGTGAGAAAGATATTGATGAGGCTACAATGTCATTCTTTGTAACTTTAAATTTTACATACCAGCTGCAAAATCTACTGAATAATCCAAATGTTTCGAAACATTTAGATTACCGCTACTCTCGACGAAAAGAAAACAATAATGCATTAGAAGATATTTATGATGGCGATATGTACAAAAAATATTCTGCTGCAGGTAATCAGTTAGATTCCAGATGGAATTTGTCATATACTTTTAATACAGATGGGTGTCAAGCAGCGAAATCAAGCAAAACATCTATTTGGCCTATATATGCAATGTTACATGAGTTGCCGCCAGAAATACGATCGAAACATATGCTTCTAATCGGATTATGGGTACACAAGAAAGAACCCAATATGAACACGTTTTTACGACCGTTCGTCGACGAAGCAAATTCTTTGGCGCGAAATGGTATACAATGGAATGTAAACAACAAGATTATTACCAGTAAAGTCTACCCTATATGTTGCTGTGTGGATTCTGTTGCCCGACCTTGTATTTTGAATATGATTCGTTTTAACGGCTTTTATGGATGCAACTTTTGCGAACATCCTACCGAAGGTGTTGATGGATACCGCCGATATACAATGTCGACATGTGTACCTCCGAATCGCACAGATACGTCCATAAGATATAGAATGCTGAATGCGTCAAATGATAAAATTCTTCCAGTCATAAATAAGGGAATTAAAGGTCCGTCGATACTGATGAATCTGGAAGGATTTGATCTAGTAGATGGAATGGTACCTGATTATATGCACTCCGTTTTGTTAGGAGTTACTCGGCAATATACAGAGCTCATATTAACGTCATGCGGGAAAGAATATTATGTTGGTTCGCCAAATCAGTTAGCTATAATAAATGAGCGTTTAACTTCTATTCAACCACCAACATGTATCACACGATTACCAAGAACACTTGAGGAACGAAAGTGTTGGAAAGCCTCTGAATGGCGTTCTTGGCTAATGTGGTATATATTGATATGTTTGCGGGGATTACTTCCTATAAAATATTTGCGGCATGTGGCACTATTAATAACTGCTATTCATATATTATTACAAAAATCTGTAACAATAGAAAGTATTGATCATGCTAACGAGTTACTGATTAAATTTGTGGTCCAATTTCAAGAGTATTTTGGAAAATCTTCTATGACATTCAATATTCACTTGCTCTTACACTTAAGTACGAGCGTAAAAAACTGGGGACCTTTGTGGACTCATAATACCTTTCCTTTTGAAAATGAAAACAGATTAATACTTCAGATGAAGACTAGTCCATATCTTATAGCTGTACAGATTGCAAGGAGATATTTCTTTTATAAACAAGTGTCCATGTACTTTGAAAAATTTCCAAATAGTAATAGATTCATAGAGTTTTGTGCAAAAAATTTTCAAAGCAGGTTGAAATATGTGTGTAAAATTGACGATTGTGTACTACTTGGGTTAGGTAAAGACTATACTCTAACTTTAGAAGAAAAAAATTGTTTTGGTAGTGCTATACGTTGCAAAGTATTCTATAAAATGTTTTGCCACGGACTTCGTTTCACAAGTGAAACTTACACGCGAGCGAACAAGTCCAATGATTCTATTATTGTTACTCGAGATGGCACGAAAGGTATAATTACAAATATATGTTCTTATGAGATCACTGAAAATGATGAAGTAGTAAAAAAAGCTGTTGTGTTTTTTCGAAAAATTAATGTATCATGTCAACCGTATCTTGCAACCAATGATGTAATCGTAACTCATATTAGAGAATGTTTCATCAACGGCGGTTTATTGGAGAAATGTTCTCCTACATTTATTCGAGGTCACTGTATCATGATGACGCTGAATGATAAACATTATATTAGTGACATACCGAGAGGATGTCTTAGTGATTAATCGATATTATTTTCTTCATAATTATGTTAATAATTGGGATTGTCTTTTATTACTGCACTGTTAAACTGGTGCTGTAAGCTAGAGTGAAAAACATCTATACTTATCTCACTTGTATTGTACTTATTGCATCAGTTCATCAGTGCAGCAATAGAAAACAAGCCTATTATAATATCTGTAACAAATTTTTGCTGTGCAAATAAAATTAATGTATATTATAAAAAATGGTGTTTTTATTTCTCGAGTTGTTTTTGAATCAATAGATTGATTATTAGCACATTTTCTGAGATAATGTGACATATTTTATTAACAATTACAACAATATTAAAATTTTTGTTTTCTGTTTCTCCAATAAAATCTGAATTAATATAATGTCCGTTGTAATACATCGTAAATATCGTAGTTGTAATTTTTTAACAGATTTTGGCTATTACAGAATCATTGTAGAAAGCTATAATTTGTTATTCTATTTTTGGACCACAAATTATTGGACGACAAACTATTTTTATATTATAACTTTTAATTTTTCAAAATTCTTGATAATACGGAATAAATTGTCTATTTTTAACAGAAATAGTAACACACTATATTGCTCATATTTAGTACTTCTAATCTTTTATTATAGTATTTTAAGATAATATTGATTGTTATAGTTTATCATTAAATTTGTAATTTTAGTCGATCAGTTTCTAATACTTCTACAATAATCTACTTAGGTAATTAATGTACTCATTAATGAATACTTTGAATTGCATAAAATGTTATAGATTCATTTATAAATTACAACGAACTATTTTGCCATATACTTCTCATCTAATTTGTATATTTCTAACAACTGTTGAAGGTTGTAATTGATTGTAAAGTTATCATTTTAATGCCAAAGTACGGTTAACTACGTCTTGTTTGTAGAAGTTTATTGTATATTTTGAAAAGGTGTAGAAATTGTTTACGCGAAAGTACGTCTTATTACAACATTTGTAAACTATAATTTTAATGCGAATGTATGATAAACTATGTCTCGGTTGTAGAAGTTTATAGTAATATTTTT